TACCGTATAAAACCAGAGTTATTATGATAACTTGTCTAATAAACAAATTACTATGATTCATTAATATTAATTCAAAAATACATTTTATTATTTTATAATAACATATCGTAACATAATCAAAATATTAAATAATAATTTTCAAAGAAATAAATGCGACATTAATACAAAAGCATATAATTACAAGAATATTATAATTAATTAATTAATTAATTAATAGATATAAATTATGAAATTATATAATAAATATAGTATTTATATTTCAATATGAAATATTTATAAAAATAAAATTGTTAAGTAAATTAAATTCATAGAAAGTTTAAATCAAATGAAATATTGGTTGCTAATAATCATTGATAAGAACATTGGAAGTGATGTTAACTTTATTGAGAAAGTTGTCAATGAGTTCTTCGTATTCAATGGGGTGTTTGGGGAGGTGTTGGACGTGTGCGCTCTTCTCCCAGCATTTAAATGTCACATCAATTCCCAAATCACGCCAAACATCAGTTAACTTCTTGTTGGCCGAAGCGGTTCCGATCCTATCATTTTGCGAGACCAATACGAGCGCCGGCACTCGCATATGAATATTCCACACGGCTTTCGATGACGCCCTGTAATACTTTGTGGCGATTCTGTTGAATACTTTTAGGTGACCGTTGATTGTAGATTTGATAACTTTGTAGAGGAATGGGTTGGTAGTTAGGGAACGGGACACTCCATTCGACAACTCCTCAATGGGAACCACTGAGTCGAAGACAATGCCTTATGAATTGAATTTATAGAAAAATTGTATTAATATATTAATAATGAGATACAAATAAACAACAATACCTTTAATTCTGTCTTCGAGTTGCTGTGTCTTATGGGCCACTTGTTTGTCCTGTTCCTGCATTTCCAGCAAAATCTCGCCGAATTGATAGGCGCCGACACTAAACGCGTGGAGTATTACCGATGAATATTGTGTTAACTCTTTGTGAAGAGCTGTCACACAGTTTTGTGCTATTTTTCGGGAACCGATGGCAGGGAATAGCAGATCAAATGGGTTAGTCTTCACTGTCAAGACATCGAAACCCTTTTGGAGATAGAGATTACTATATTTGTCGACATGTTTGTCCTGAGCCATTAACCACGTCAACAGCACCACTAAAGGTCGTGACTTCAAACTGGTCTCACGACTGTCACCGTCATAGCCTTCGATGGTCGAGATGTGACTCGACTGATAGTTCAGATGCTTTAGGGTTATACTCTTGGCTAACATACGGGTCGACAAATCAATTGCTGCCTAAATATAAGAAATCAACCTTCAGTTAAATGAACATAAAATAGTCAAAACTCATGAACAATACCTGTCTGTTAGTGACAGCAGTTGTCGAGAAATTGGCTTTTAATACAAAATATGTATTTCTTTGGATCACTTTAATTAAAATC